TGATATAGATGTATCAGGTGAAGACCTACCTAGATGTATCAGGTGAAGACCTACCTAGGTGTATAAGGTGAAGACCTGTCTAGATGTATCAGGTGAAGACCTGTCTATATGTATAAGGTGTATGATGAAGACCTGCCTCCTTAGTAGGAAATTTGAGAGTGCATAGTATTTTGCCCTTTACGCCAAATGGAACCTTTTGGGGCAGAATGTCCAGGACGGTTATTCTCTTGCATTGATAATGTATATATATTATATCAACATCTATGTCTGACCGCTGTTTCATGTAATGTTGGTATGTGACACCCTGAAAACCAGTCTGACCTAGTTTCGAGACATCTGCAAGATAGTGCTATCAAAAATGACGTAAAAGGAGGCAGATTTTACATCTTGTATCGTTTGTTTTGCTAATACATATCTCGTCCTTTACACTTGGCATTAAGCTCCTATAGCCCAGTGTCCCAAACACTATATAGAGGCTTTCATAGTTTCATTGACAATTTGAGGAATAGGTATATGCAATGGAAAACACATGTAGTGCTGTGTGGAGACATATTAGATTACTAAAATAGTTTACCTACTTTTTCTGTCACCATACACATATAAGTAACCAGGACCAAATGTGTTTGTTTGTTGGTTTGTTTGTTGTTTAACGCCACACTCAGCAATATTCCAGCTATATAACGGCGGTCTGTAAATAATCGGGTCTGGACCAGACAGTCCAGTGATTGACATCGATCCACGCAACTGGGATATTGTGTATCAACCAAGTCAGTGAGCCTGACCACCCGATCCCGTTAGTCGCCTCTTTCGACAAGCATTTACAAGATGATTGTACCAATGGTGATGTCACTAAAGATATTACAGAGGATATTCTCAATATGCCTATAACAAAACACGTAATATCAAATAGCATCCACCATTTAAAATGCAACAAATCTCCGGGAATAGATGACACCATTTCTGAATTATTTATACATGCGACTGATTCACTTGTCCCATACCTAGAATTGTTATTTAATGTGATGTCTGAAGAGGGATACTTCCTGGAAACATGGTCTATTCATAAAGCAGGGGCTTCTTAAGATGTGTATCGCTAGTAAAATATACTCTTCAAAAAACGAAACTTGACACTGACTTTCAAAATGTAATACAATGCGATTGTTTCAAAATAGGACACAGAAACCATAATTGAAACACTGTTTGGAGATCAATGTACACAATGTTCAAAACATTAATCGTGTCACCTAGACAGACACGCATACACGATACAGTTAATGTCACAGGGGGAAAAATCACCATGGAAACATAAAAAATAAAATTTTCTAAAATTTCTAAATAGCAAAAGGCACCTGTTCAGCATGTACCTGACAAACCTGCAAAGTTTCATGAAAAAATATTGAATGGTTTATGAGTTATGCTCCGGAAACGAACCCTACCATAACAGAATCTATGTCAATCTTGTTGCCATGGAAACGTAAAAAATTAAAATTTCTAAATAGCGAAAGGCACCAGTTCAGCATGTACCTGACAGACCTGCAAAGTTTCATGAAAAGATATTGAACGGTTTATGAGTTATGCTCCGGAAACAAACCCTTCCCTCACAGAACATAAGTCCATCTTGCTGCCATGGAAACGTAAAAAATAAAATATTCTAAAATTTCTAAATAGCAAAAGGCACCAGTTCAGCATGTACCTGACAGACCTGCAAAGTTTCATGAAAAGATATTGAACGGTTTCGGAGTTATGCTCCGGAAACGAACGTGACGGACGGACATACGGTCGGACGGAGCCCGTTTCAATATCCCCCGCCCAACCAAGTATTAATACACAGGTATCATTAGCCTCATGATAAACTGACTATTTATCTACCTTTTGTTGATAATACTTACTGTTCCCTCATTGTCTGAGAAAAAAACCATATCCTTTCAGCAGACTACAAATGACCCCATATAAATATTTAATGCCCCATGTTTCCGAGCCCTACAACAAAATTGGTAGAATGTTACCATCAAATATCGAATTTGCTGTGGAGAATGAGATATATTTGTTATCCTTGAATAATTTATAAACAGGAAAGATTGCCTTAGATGCCAGTAGCGCTAAGGTCTTACAGCCTTGGACCAATTTAATCTTGAGGACATTAATAGTCCCAAATACGTATAATAACTTGCAATTTTTAAATGTTTATCACCATATATCCAATTGTTCATGCTTCGATACAATTCCACCATTTCTAAAAACAATAACAATGCTTTTCTCAAGCTTTACTTCTAAACCCCACTTAATACAAAGGACTGCAATACAAAAGCTGTTTCTGCAAGCCTACCACATAGTAGGACACCAGAGCAACATCATCCGCGAACAGCAATAACATAATATCTATAATATATTGTGTCACAAACACACCATGATGACATTCTTTGTAAATTTCAGAAACAAGTTCGTTTATGAAAAAGATGAATAAGACTGGGCTTAAGATGCAACCTTGACGAACACCACTGGAAGTAGTAAAACAAGGAGTTGTACCCGAGTCAGTTTTAATACATGCTTTGACTGAGGAATACATATTCTTAAGAACTATGGACAGTTTAGTCCTTTAGTGATCAATAGGAACAGCAGTTTTTTTTCTATCAACGTAATCAAAAGCTTTGCGGAAATCAACAAAGGCGCAATAAAGTGACAAGGAACGACTTGCTAGTAGTATGTATTCTAATTTACAGCAATAAATTACCAATGTAACAAATACGGGACTGATATTACAACTCTCTATCAGACATGAACATTATACATAATGACTAGGTGTGTCACAATAAATCGAAATATCGATATACTGCTGTTGGTAAGCACTTAAAGTCAATTTATCGATTGTTAGATCAGTTGTATCGATCAATAGTATCGATTTCAGTTGGAATATCGATAGTTTCGATTGTATTTACCATAGTTTTACAGTTCCAATAAAATAGATGCAATGCTGTTCAAATTTGTTTTTCTTTTGATCATGAGTGGTAGTAATTTACACAAGGTAATGTGGAAGTTTCTTTTTCGTAAATTATTAGGGTAAAGAAATAACAAATCAGTCATATCTCAAACTTATTTTTTTATTTGTTGTTATGGTGATCGCATTAAAAGGAAACTTCAGTTCAAGGTTTAATTCAACTCTAAAATCCATCTAAAATGATACACTGAAACTCTATCGATATTTATCGCAGTAGTTGCTTGCAATATCAATAGTTATCACAATAGTTTCTTTCAATATCAATAGTTATCGCAATAGTGATTTCCAAACCAATAGTCAACCCCTAATAATGACCCTCTGCTTAACGAACCAATCACAACGGAATACGTTATTAAAGCTGTTAGGAATTTGAAGAACAACAAAGCCAGTAGAAAAGAGAATATCATTAATGAATATATGAAAGTGCCTAAATACCATACCAAACAACACGACATAATTACTGCCCAATACTTCCTTCGTTGTATGGATTTACATCACGGTGAAAACTTATCCCCCGTTTTATATGCACTGTACTTTAACGACCTCGAGCAATATCTACAGAATCATGATTGTACAGGTCTGCAGTTCAACGACGAATCTCTTCAACAATTTACTGATACCTCTTCACGACCTTCCGTACATTTATATGCCGACGACATCGTATTATTAGCCAACAGCAAAAAGGATCTACAAGCCTCATTAACTGTTTTCGGAAAAAATTGTGTCAAGATAAATATGGAAAAAACTTTAAGTTCTCATATTTGGTGGAACAAAGCCAAACTGTCAGGATGTACTATTAATTAATAATATCCCAGTGGAAAATGTTCATACATATACACATATCTAGTTGTTATCTAGGTTTGTGTGGTTATGTGTACGTTTGTGTGTGCATGTGGCGTAGAAGATCATGTGGGTTGTTTCTGGATCACTGCCCTTATATTGTTTTGTATTGTCTGCATTTTAATTATGTTTATACCAAACTGTTTAAATTGATTTTAATTGTCTCTCATAACCCCCAGGTGGTTTATGTATAGTGTATCTACTTAGGCAGATTTTTTTTTTTTTTATTAATTAATCTGCCGACCGTAAAATCAAGAAAGTCGGGTTTTAGGGGGTCAGTTTATTTAACTGAATCTGAAAACTCTATTTAGCAATAAACTATATCACACATTGTTTTTATGCCCGTCCCGATAAAATATCCCTCCACGGCCCACATAACGCGTACATTCTTTGCGAGAGGCTGTGGTCCTATGTTAGACGAACGCTTAGTCTGTGAACTTTGCCAAAATCTAGACTTGCTTCATTTGGGGCTTTTGCATTACAGAAAGGGCTTGGCGGAAGGGAAAATAATATGGTTCAGGGACTGCGAGATAGACTAGTAGCTATGTACCAGTTTTATTCATAACCTGAGCAGTGAGTGGGTTGTTTCTAAATATGTACAGGCTTCGAGAAGGAGGCACGAGTGGGACGAAAAGCCTAGATGGAGATATAAGGGATGCAACATTTTGAAGAAAAATAAAAGATTTTTCGAATTTCATTCGCAGTTAAAACAGCGACAAACAGGAAATAACAAATCTGGTAAATGAAAATGTGAAATTTGCGATAAAACATCACTAGACATGATTATTTACTATTTAAATTGTATTTCCTGTTGTGCTAGGCATTGATTGCGGAGATTAGGATTACCGTGTGTATTTTCTCGTAAACTAAGCAGCAAACAGCAATCATTTTTTCCGCTTAGAACATGTTAAGAAATACCTCTATAATAGAACTAAAATAATTTTGATGCAGTAATAATAATAATCATAATCATAATAATAATAATAATATTTTTTTATTACGACCACCGACAAACATCCGTAAAACAACTGATATAAAAAGACATCACTGCATGTTTAATCTGTTCAGTACCACGAAGAATGTAATCTGCATGATATATTTGTAAAGAAAGTCAGACTTAAATAAATAACTTCCTTCTCTCTCTCTCTCTCTTCTGCAACCTTACCGAATCTATTCCTGCATCCGCAAGCTTTCCTCCGCTTTTATCACCGATTCCAGGCAAGTCTGTCACTGCTTTGTCACCCATCGGCTCTGCCAAAAAGTCTCTTGCTTTTTGTGTTGTGCTCGGGGTGCTTGGGTTTGTTTGGCTTGACATGATGACTGATCTGAAGAGCAAGTATCAGTATTACTAGAGTGAATGTGTGAGTGAGAAGTATGATATTTTCCCGACAAAATCTAAGATCTACTGATTAGTTCTGATATATATGTCATGGACTCTCTGCTACCCTGGGCTGAAGAAGATGTGTGTGTGTTTGGGGGGGGGGGGGGGGGGGGGGGGGAGGAGAGGGGGGGGAGAGAAGTGAGGGTTATTGAGACAGTTGTATCGTGTGTATTTATGTCATCATACATGTCATATGTGCCCAGCATCTTCATAACAAAAGACGTTAAAAGCAGGTACTTGTTACCCTCGGAAATAAGGTTTGAAACAAGGCCTGCGGAGTTGCTACACTGTGTGTGGGTAGAGTCTCCATGTTAAACGGTGGCATAGTATCTCAGTGGCCTATCACGTTGAACAGTCATTAGTCTGGTGTAGTTAACGCATGTAACCGGAGTATGAACCTTCATAGATTAAACGCCAAAACAATCTTAAATGAACACATCTAAACCGTGAATACTCTTTGTTAATGCTGTTCATGAAAAGATATACTAGTACTTCATCGTGAGTTTTAAAGTGCGGTTTCAAGCAAGGAAACGACAAAATCAAAAGTGCAGTTCTTAACTGATTATTTCTTGGAAATTCAGTGTTGAAAATATTTTAAACCAAAAACAGCCTTCGTCTTGTCAATTTTTCTCAACTAATTTTAAATCTTATTTAAAAAGTTATAATAAAACAGTATATACAATTGTGGTAAGACGCTACCCCACTACCCCAACTGGTCAGCTCGGAGTCAGTATACTGTGTCTGAGTGGGGTATTCACACACGTACATGCACGTCGCTATGTAAGTGCAATAATCCTGGACGCAACGTTAAGCCCAATTTCACCTCCCCTCCTGCATTGATTGTATAACATGTTAGGCACATCCTCAATGGTCACTACTTATATGGGGGTAGCAGAATACCTCTGGACCATGGTAGCAAAGTGTCTTCGAACAATATTTAACTATACTGCATCGATGTGGCAGTCACATTTAGATTAGATTATATGTTTCATAGGGTGTTATTTGTGTCCCTGTGAATCGTTCTGTGCTGCGGTACCCAATTATATAGGATGGCCACGCGCCCAGTGTACTGACTGCAGATTTGTCATGCTAGCTCAGGCTCTGTCACTATATCAAACTCTGGGGAGATATTACAGACTATTGTCACTGTGGCATATGTGGTATTAATAATTCTGTCATTATCATTTAAAGTGAGTTTAAATACTATTCTACCATGACACTGAAGAATGCTTTATTCTGATTTGTTAAAAAGATGTTTCCTTTTTGCCACGAAAGCCCCTTTTAAATATATTTTCACACACAAAAACGTGCGTATGAATACATTAATAGCCTACATATGGATTCATAAAATATAGCTGCCAATCGAAGACCCATAGGATCTGTAAAACATATATCCTAACATTGATTCATGACAACATGCTGTTTACAAGTCTAATTACGTACGTTTGAATACATTTATAGCCTACATATCGATTCATAAAATATAGCTGCCAATCGATCACCCATAGGATCTGTAAAACATATATCGATATTTCCTCTAGTACGAGTCAACAGGCTCTTGCGAAATTAATAAACGGCAATCCTGACACAGCTCACTATATCACGCAAAGCCTCGTATACCCGTCCATATTCTCAAATGCAGACACATCCACCTCACAATATCACGCCAAGCCTCGTGTACCCGTACACATTCTCAAATGCAGACACATCCACATCACGATATCACGCCAAGCCTCGTGTATCCTTTAACAAACTCATATGCAGACACATCCACCTCACTATATCACGCAAAGCCTCGTGTACCCGTACACATTCTCAAATGCAGACATATCCACCTCACAATATCACGCCAAGCCTCGTGTACCCGTACACATTCTCAAATGCAGACACATCCAGCTCACTATATCACGCCAAGCCTCGTGTACCCGTACACATTCTCAAATGCAGACACATCCAGCTCACTATATCACGCCAACTCTCGTGTTTCCATACACATCCTCACATACAAATCCACCTAACGATATCACGCCAAGCCTCGTGTATCCTTTAACAAACTCATATGCAGACACATCCATCTCACTATATCACGCCAAGCCTCGTGTATCCGTAACATACTCACATGCAGACACGTCCACCTAACGATATCACGCCAAGCCTCGTGTTTCCGTACACAAACTCATATACACATCCACCTCACTATATCACCCAGAGGCTCGTGTATCTTTACACATACTCACATACAGACATATCCACCTCACTATATCACGCCAACTCTCGTGTTTCCATACACATACTCACATACACACCCACCTCACTATATCACCCAGAGGCTCGTGTGTCCGTACACATACTCACATGAAGACACATCCACCTCACTATATCACGCCAAGCCTAGTGCAACCTTACACATACTCACATACACACCCACCTCACTATATCACCCTGAGCCTCGTGTATCCGTACACATACTCACATGAAGACACATCCACCTCACTATATCACGCCAACCCTAGTGCAACCTTACACATACTCACATACACATCCACCTCACTATATCACGCCAACCCTAATGCAACCTCACACATACTCACATGAAGACACATCCAACTAACTATATCACGCCAAGCCTCGTGTGTCCGTACACATACTCACATACACATCAATCTAACGATATCACGCCAAGCCTCGTGCAACCTTACACATACTCACATGAAGACACATCCAACTAACTATATCACGCCAAGCCTTGTGTATCTGTACACAAACTCACATACAGACACACCCACCTCACTATATCACGCCATGCCTCGTGTATCCGTACACAAACTCACATACAGACACACCCACCTCACTATATCACGCCATGCCTCGTGTATCCGTACACAAACTCACATACAGACACACCCACCTCACTTTATCACGCCATGCCTCGTGTATCCGTACACATACTCACATTCAGAAACCCCCACCTCACTATATCACGCCATGCCTCGCGTATCTTTACATTTACTCACATACACATACACCTCACTATATCTCGCCAAGCCTCGTGTATCCATACACATACTCACATACACACCCACCTAACTATATCACGCCAAGCCTGGTGCAACCTTACACAAACTCACATACATACCCACCTCACTATATCACGCCAGGCCTCGTGTATCCATACATATACTCACATACACACCCACCTCACTATATCACCCAGAGGCTCGTGTGTCCGTACACATACTCACATACAGACACATCCACCTCACTATATCACGCCAAGCCTCGTGTTTCCGTACACAAACTCATATACACATCCACCTCACTATATCACCCAGAGGCTCGTGTATCTTTACACATACTCACATACAGACATATCCACCTCACTATATCACGCCAACTCTCGTGTTTCCATACACATACTCACATACACACCCACCTCACTATATCACCCAGAGGCTCGTGTGTCCGTACACATACTCACATGAAGACACATCCACCTCACTATATCACGCCAAGCCTAGTGCAACCTTACACATACTCACATACACACCCACCTCACTATATCACCCTGAGCCTCGTGTATCCGTACACATACTCACATGAAGACACATCCACCTCACTATATCACGCCAAGCCTAGTGCAACCTTACACATACTCACATACACATCCACCTCACTATATCACGCCAACCCTAATGCAACCTCACACATACTCACATGAAGACACATCCAACTAACTATATCACGCCAAGCCTCGTGTGTCCGTACACATACTCACATACACATCAATCTAACGATATCACGCCAAGCCTCGTGCAACCTTACACATACTCACATGAAGACACATCCAACTAACTATATCACGCCAAGCCTTGTGTATCTGTACACAAACTCACATACAGACACACCCACCTCACTATATCACGCCATGCCTCGTGTATCCGTACACAAACTCACATACAGACACACCCACCTCACTATATCACGCCATGCCTCGTGTATCCGTACACAAACTCACATACAGACACACCCACCTCACTTTATCACGCCATGCCTCGTGTATCCGTACACATACTCACATTCAGAAACCCCCACCTCACTATATCACGCCATGCCTCGCGTATCTTTACATTTACTCACATACACATACACCTCACTATATCTCGCCAAGCCTCGTGTATCCATACACATACTCACATACACACCCACCTAACTATATCACGCCAAGCCTGGTGCAACCTTACACAAACTCACATACATACCCACCTCACTATATCACGCCAGGCCTCGTGTATCCATACATATACTCACATACACACCCACCTCACTATATCACCCAGAGGCTCGTGTGTCCGTACACATACTCACATACAGACACATCCACCTCACTATATCAAGCCAACTCTCGTGTATCCTTGCACATACTCACACACACATCAATCTCACTATATCACGCCAAGCCTCGTGTATCCGTTCACATACTCAGATACACACCCACCTCACTATATCAACCAGAGGCTCGTGTGTCCGTTCACATTCTCACATACACTCCCACCTCACAATATCACGCCAAAATCTCGTGCATCCTTGCACATACTCACATACAGACACATCCATCTCACTATATCACGCCAACTCTCGTGTATACTTGCACATACTCACAGACACATAAATCTCACTATATCACGCCAAGCCTCGTGTATCCGTTCACATACTCACATACACACCCACCTCACTATATCACCCAGAGGCTCGTATGTCCGTTCACATTCTCACATACACACCCACCTCACTATATCACGCCAAAATCTCGTGCATCCTTGCACATACTCACATACAGACACATCCACCTCACTATATCACGCCAACTCTCGTGTTTCCATACACATCCTCACATACACATCCACCTAACGATATCACGCCAAGCCCCGTGTATCCTTTAACAAACTCATATGCAGACACATCCAT